TTTCCAGTTTGGATATCTTTTATTATTTCTTTTTCTTGCCTAATTGCTTTGGCTAAAACTTACAGTAATATGCTGACTAGAAGTGGTGAAAGTGGGCATCCTTGCCTTGTTCCTGACTTTAAAGGAAAACCTTTCAGTCTTTCACTATTGACAATATTATCTCTGGAATTTCATATATGGTCTTTATCATGCTCAGGAAATTTCTTCTTATTCCTAGTTTTTTGTATGTTTTTATCATGAAAAGGTGTTGAATTTTGTCAAATGCTTTTTCTGAATCAATTGAAATGAACATGTGGGGTTTTTCCTAGTGTTTTGTTAATTTGGTATATTTCATTGATTGGCTTTCATATATTGAAACATTCTTGCATTCCAGGAATAAATCCCACTTAGTCATAATGTATAATCCTTTTAAAATTTTTTTTTTCAACATTTATTTATTTTTGGGACAGAGAGAGACAGAGCATGAACGGGGGAGGGGCAGAGAGAGAGGGAGACACAATCGGAAACAGGCTCCAGGCTCTGAGCCATCAGCCCAGAGCCCGACGCGGGGCTCGAACTCACGGACCGCGAGATCGTGACCTGGCTGAAGTCGGACGCTTAACCGACTGCGCCACCCAGGCGCCCCTGTATAATCCTTTTAATGTGCTGTTGAATTCTGTTTGAGAGTATTCTGTTGAAGATTTTTGCATGAATATTCATCACGGATGTTGGTCTATAGTTCCCTGTCTTTTTCCTTTCTTTCTTGTGGTGTCTTTATCTGACCTTGGTATCAGGGTAATGCTGGCCTCAAAAAATGAGTTAGGAGGTGCTACTGCCTCTTTAGTTTTTCTGGAATAATTGATAAAGATTTGGTATTCTTTCTTCTTTGACCACTATGGTATGTGCTAGCTCATAGTGTTATTTTTCATCACTTGGCTTATCAAACTTTGTCTCCACTCTCCTGTGTTCCTGACTTAAATTTTTGCTGCAATTGCGCTTTTCTTTCCTTCTTTCTTTCTTTCTTTCTTTCTTTCTTTCTTTCTTTCCTTCTTTCTTTGTTCCTTTGAGCTGACAGCTCAGAGCCTGGAGCCTGCTTCAGATTCTGTGTGTCTCTCCCTGTCTCTGCCCCTTCCCCACTCATGCTCTGTCTCTCAAAAATGAATAAACGTTAAAAAATAAAATATTTTAGCATCCCTTTTATTCCTGAGGTGAAATTCATAGATATAATATCTATACTCATACTTTAAATAATTAATATAAATAAATGTGAGGGCAAATAAAAGGAAAGTAATTTCTAATAACGGGCATTTCAGTGTGTAAATTCTAGGCCAACTTCACCAGAAGACATAATAAAGAAGTAGACAGAGGCTTGTACCTATATGTAGAATTAAAATAAATGTGAAAGCTATGAATATAGGTTGATACAAAAGCAGGTTTATCGTACTGATATTATATAACTATTAACGTTAGTGCATTGCTGTTGGTACTATGGTACCAACAGAATGGTAAAATTTATTGGAGAAATTCTAAAGAACATCTTTCCTTTGATTTACATAATATTTGCATTCCTGGAAACTTCAGTATATAATTAAACTAGGCAAAAAATACTTTGTTTATATTTTAACAGGAGTAAATTTCTAGGCTCAAATAATTATAAACAGATGTTTTTCTTTTTACCTACATGAATGTCTCATAGGACAGTCAAAATCTATGCAGGATTGGGCCAGTTCTTCATTGTGTGGACTGTCCACTATAAAATGAGCTAGCATTCCTTAGCACCTTTCACTGAATATCAATAAATCCTTCCTCCCAATCACTGTTGCAACCAAAAATGATTCCCCAAATTCCCAAAGACACATATGAGGTAGTAATTTACTTTCCTATTGAGAATATTGGTATACAGTTATAAGCAAAATACATTTGCTGATAGACTCTTGAGAAGGTGAAGTAATGAAATAAAAGTGTTGAGGAATATCTGATACCTGCTTTCCACAGGTGAGGGCTAGGTAAAGAAAAAACAAAAAAGTAACTTCCTTTTACTTACTTGTTTACGGCAGTCATTTATAAAACATTTTCACATATGTCATACATCTCACATCAATTGTAAATTTAGTATCTCCACCATTTTTAAAAGTTTTTTATTTTCATTCCAGTATAGTTAATATACAGTGTATTAGTTCCTGGTGTATAATATAGTAATTCAACTATTCTATACGTTACTCAGTGCACATCGTGATAAGTGTACTCTTTAAGCCCCATCACCTATTTCACCCATCTCACCACCCACCTCCTCTATGGTAACCATCAGTTTGTTCTCTAAAGCGAAGAGTCTTGATATGTCTCTCTCTTTTTTTCCCTTTGTCTGTTTTGTTTCTTAAATTCCGCATAGGAGTGAAATCATATGGTATTTGTCTTTGACTTATTTCACTTAGTATTATACTTTCTAGCTCCATCCATGTCATTGCAAATGGCATGATTCCATTCTTTTTAAGGCTAATATTCCATTGTGTATATATGCCACATCTTCTTTATCCATTCATCTATCAATGGACATTTGGGGTGCTTCCATAATTTGGCATTATATATAATGCTGCTATAAACATAGGGGTGTATATATTTTTTGAATTGGTGTTTTCATTTTCTTTAGATAAATACCCAGAGGTGCAATTATTAGATCATAGGGTAGTTCTATTTTTAATTTTTTGAGGAACCTCCATATTCTTTTCCACAATGGTGCACCAGTTTGCATTGCCACCAACAGTGCAGGAGCATTCCTTTTCTTCATATTCTCACCAACACTTGTTGTTTCTTGTGTTTTTTTATTTTAGCCATTATCACTGGTATGAGGTGGTATCTCACTGTAGTTTTGATTTGCATATCTGTGGTGAAGGGTGATGTTGAGCATCTTTTCATGTGTCTGTTGGCCATCTGGATGTCTTGTTTAGAGAAATGTCTGCTGCCCATTTGTTAATTGGATTATTTGGGTTTTGGGTGTTGAGTTGTATCAGTTCTTTATATATTTTGGATACTAACCTTTTACTGGATAGGTCATTTGCAATGCAAATATCTTCTCTCATTCAGTACACTGTCTTTTAGTTTTGTTGGTTGTTTCCTTTGCTGTACACAAGCTCTTAATTTTGATGTAATCCCAATAGTTTATCTTTGCTTTTATTTCCTTTGCTTCAGGAGCTGTATCTAGAAAAATGTTCTATGGCTGATGTCAGAGAAATTATGGCCTGTGTTCTCTTCTAAAATTTTTATGGTTTCACATTTAGGTCTTTAATCCATTTTGAGCTTATTTTTGTGTATGATGTAAGAAAGTAGTCCAAGATCATTCATTTGTATGTAGCTGTTCAGTTTTCCTAATACCATTTGTTGAAGAGACTGTCTTTTTCCCATTGCACATTCTCACCTCTTTTGTCAAAGATTAATTGACCTTATAACTGTGGGTTTGTTTCTGGGCTTTCTACACTGTTCCATTGATCTATGTGTCTATTTTTGTGCCAGTACCATACTCTTTTGATTACTACAGCTTTGTGGTATAGCTTGAAATCTTGAATTGTGATACCTGCAGTTTTGTTTTGTTTTGTTTTGTTTTTTTCATGATTGCTTTGGGTATTCAGGGCTTTTTGTGGTTCCACATAAATTTTATAATTTTTTCTTCTAGTTCTATAAAAAATACTCTTGATATTTTGATAAGGATTGCATTAAATGTGTAGATTGCTTTGGGTAGTTCATACATTTTAACAATATTTGTTCTTCCAACCCATGAGCAGGGAATGTCTTTCCGTTTCTTTGTGTCATCTTCAATTTCTTTCATCAATATTTTATAGTTTTCAGAGTACAGGTCTTTCACCTCTTTAGATAAGTTTATTCCTAGGTATTTTATTATTTTTGGTGCAATCATAAATAGGACTGTTTCCTTAATTTCTCTGTCTGCTACTTCATTA